TTTTAAGCATTGTTCTGTAAAACCACATCTCTGAGGCCACAGGAAATTGTTTGGCATGCCTACCGATTGTTCAGGACTTACAGCCATATCTCAAAACTGGATGTATGTAGCAAGCAAGAATTCTTTTTCTAACCTTCAATTACAAAAATGTATTGTATTAGATGTTCTTCATTTTATAAAATGCAGTTTTTCCCTGTCCTTTTCTGTATCTTATTTCAGTTATGCATTTTCCATCTGATGTTATCCATGTGGCCAGATACTTAAATTTCTGTACTTGTCCCAAAATAAAACCATTGACTTTTATTACACATTTAGTAATAATTATTTTCTTTGATACCACCATTACTTCTGTCTTCACACTATTCAAACATTCTTCCACTTTCGAATAGTGTATAAAATCATCATCAGTTCTCGTTATACCTAGTGGCACATGAGGCTTCAGAGAGGACTTTCCATGCTTTCCTGTCCTGTACAATCTTCAGTGCAGTTTTCCATGTCAAAGATGCCGCACTCAGGTCACTTTCCATCGTTCGTCTCCATGTTGTTTTGGCACCCCTGTTTTCTCTTTCCCTCTGGTGTCCATGTGAGAGCTGTTTTGGCAGGTATATCAGAAGTCATTCTCATAACGTGGCCAAGCCATTTCCATCTTCGCTTGGTAATCATACTGTCTAAAGTTTCTAGGTTTGTGGCTTGAAGTAGTTTAGTGTTTGAGATTGTATCTGGCCAGAAAATTTTTATAATTCTACGTAGACATGTGTGGTGGAAGGTGGACAGCTTGTGTGCATCCTTTTTGGTCATTCTCCAGCATTCCGCTCCATAAAGAAGAACTGGCAAAATGATGCTCTTGTAGAATCGGAGTTTTGTTACTCTGCAGTAATTGTTGGATTTCCAAATTTGCCTCATCCTTCCAAAAGCAGCTCTAGCTTTGTTCAGGCGTGACTGTATGTCTTCCTCTGTCCCTCCCAGTAGGGACACCACACTGAAAAGATATGTGAAATGTTCTACATTTTCAAGTGATTGGTTACTTATGGTCACTGGTTGTTTGTTTGGACTGTTTGTCATGATCTTAGTTTTCTTTGTATTTATTCTCAGTCCCACCATTTCTGCTGTGCAGTGTAGTCTGTTACTTTTCGCGTGTATATGTTCATGTTTATGTGATAGGAGTGCTACATCATCTGCAAAATCAAGGTACTCAAGCATGGTAAATGGAGTCCTTAATGTCCTGTCTACTGTGTTCTTTAGTATCCAATCAATCACAAGGTTGAAGAGGAAAGATGACATAACACATCCCTATCTTACACCCGTCTTTACTGGAAAAGATGTATTGTAATTTTTTATACTGCAGGAAAAGTCTTTATAGAAGAGAGCAATTATGTTGACTATTTTTTCTGGAATTCCATAATGTCGTAAAATTTTCCACCAACCGTCTATATGGATGCTGTCAAAAGCTTTCTCAAAGTGCACAAAATTAATATATATGCTTCGATGCCATTCGTTGCATTGTTCTAAAATGTTACGTATGGCAAAGTGTATAAAATAGATCTAAAAAAAAAAAAAAGAGAAAAACACATCTATAATGTCAAATGTACGCTGAAATTTTACTTCACAAAATGTAGTACAGAATAGTAAACATTTTAAAACATTTCATATTTAGCATCCTACAGTCAGTCAGTCTGTGGTAACTAATACCAAGGAATGAAAGTATTCTTAGTTTTATAACAAGTAACTAAACTTGTAAATTGTCACTGACAGCTTAGTTAATCCATTAAAGCGGCATTAGCTTTCAAAACAAACAAAAAATCGTTCCATGTTGTCAGCATTAAGGCAGCTTCCTGTCTCACTGAAGGTATTTTCAGCTGTACTAAACAGACGTTCATTTGGTACGCTCGTAGGTGGTGCACAAAGATAACGCTTGACAGTATGAAGCAAGTTGGGAAATCTTGATATGTTTATTTTCCACCAGTCCAGAAACAGATGTAAGGTAACCGCTATTCGTATTTGGCCCGACCGCAACTATTCGGCCGAATACCGAATAGTTATTAGGTCCACTATTCGGCCCCGAAGCGAATATTCGGTACAGCCCTAATTTAAACACATCCACCCACTCACACACTCATTCACTCACCTGACTAATTTTTTTCTATTTGATAAAAACTGAAATTCATGTCCATTTATTGACAACAAACCAGAAAACATATTTTTCATCTACGAGCAACTTTAATGGTACTTCTTTTTGGTCGCAAGCAGCTGCTAACTTCTGCCTTTTTGGCTCCTGATGAGTTATATATTTTTTATTATCATTACTATCTGTGAACATTCATATTTTAATGCTGGCTGATACTGAAACCAAACAGCAACGGAAATCCTTGCTTATCATGCGGAGAGAAAGAGAGAGAGAGAGAGAGAGAGAGAGAGAGAGAGAGAGAGAGAGAGAGAGAGAGAGAGAGAGAGTGAGAAGGAGTGCAACAGCAATCCGCTGGGTTCCCAAAACTGTGTTAACTTTCACACAATGTTTGTTTAAAACAAGTTGGAGAATTGCAGGGACTGCGAATAATAATAAACAAGTTTAGACATACTGTTGAGATTGCAGTACTGGAAGAAAATGTGCAGCAATTACGGAAGCTTGTGGAGCAAGTAAACACAAGCAGAATAGAATGTTGTTTATGTTAATGATTCGTGTATATTCCTTGCAATGGCTGGTTTGTCCGTTATGTGTTGTAGTCTTTACTTCCGTCTCCGCCGTTGGCTGGCTGTTTCTTTCAAACCTGGTATGCTTCATCCCGGATATTCCTGACCAGATAACAGAGGGCTCGATAGGTTAATTCTGATGATGTTGCGTCTGTTTTGTTAAGGTGGCGTTCTTCTTCTTTTTCTGCTGCGGATTCTTCTACTACCAGTTTTCTTCATCTCCTATTCTTCTTCTTCCTTCTCTTCCTCCTTCTTTTCTTCTTCTGTTTCTTCTTCTTCTTCTTTTTTCTTTTACTTCTTGTTTTCTTCTTCTTCTTCTTCTTCTTGTTCTTCTCCTTCTTGTTTTTCTTCTTCTTCTTCTGCTGCAGCAGCTATTGATCCTCTCCTTCTGCTTTCTTTATTTCCTATTCTTTCTCCTCATACTTCTTCTTCTTCCTCCTTTTCTTCTTCTGTTGCTGCTACTACTGTTGCTACTGATCATCATACACCCATTTTGTGGTGTTTCTGATTCTTCCTCATTTTTTTCTGTCTTTCTTTCCTCTTTCTTTTCTTTCCTTCTTTTTTTTCTTGCTTTATCTTCTTCTGCTTAAGATCCAACTACTATCCTCATGCTTTCTTCATCCTTTTACTTCTTTCTGTGTTTCTCTTTGTGTGTCTTAATTTATTTAACCCAGTGCAACACATATTCTCTCGGTATATAAATTACAAACATGCTGACTCACAGCATGCCCACCTCCCCCAGTTTGTAACTTTTCAAACCTAGCTGACATGGCTTGTCATAAATACTCTTAATGTAAGTTGCCTCTCATATCAACAGTAGGGCAAGGTCGGTCGACAGCGCAGTCCAAACCAGCAAGCTGCTCAGATAAACCCTATCTAAGGCAGTATTTCCACAGATAACGTGAGGATGATATCACAACGACACCGTACCCTCGAGAGGCAAGAGACGGGATGCAGAAACATTCTAGGCATTTTAAAGGCAATACAAAAACTAAGATGTTGCTATCAAGTATGAAAAGGGGAAGAAACTGCTAGGTCAGCTGAAATCAGGGTAGAGGAATTAGAAATACTTGGAAAACTCGGAACATAAATATTAACCAAACTGTTGAATTACATTGTTTGCAACAGTAAATGCATATTAATGGAAGCCAGAAATCGGGGGCTGAGCAACCCATGTGTTTTGTGGAGAGGTGAGCACCCTATCCCACTACATACTCATACACCAGGTAAAGATGGTCTCTTCTCAATCATTTGTTTGTATATGTCATATTGGGTCAGATATATTATTATATGTTTGTGCCATTCAGCACAAAATAATAATAACCATAATAATAATAATTACTGAGCAGTTAAAAGTAACGTATGCCACCCTGGACTTCCTAGACCAGAGGTTCTAAAACTGGGTGCCGCGACACTCAGGGGTGCCGCGGCAATAATCACAATTTTTCAAAATCTGCTTGAGATCAGCAAAGGCAGCAGTTTGAAACAGAAATAGCGTGCAGGAAGCCAAGAAGAGTTCTGGATGCAGGTGTATTGAGAAGACAATGCTATTAGCCAGGCTGCAGTGCATTCTTAAAGTGCACTTACACAGAAAACAGATAAAAGATCAAACTTTCTGGTCAAGTGATTTTAGGATAAAATTAACTAAACTTCCCATATACATAAAGGAAATAATGAAAATTCATCAAAACAGTTTTATTCATCGCATTAAAGACAACTAAACATCAAATGTGCACTGTTTTTCTTCTTTTCCTAAGTATTCAGACCACTTTGAGTAGGTGTGCCTCGATTTTTTTTTGGGCCCGACAAGGGTGTAGCGGCGAAAAACGTTTGAGAACCGCTGTTTTCATAATTTGTTATATTTAACACAACGCTTTCAATGGACGTGACAAGACTTGCCACTGTTGTATTTACCTTCTTCTTCTTGGCTTTCACCGGCTGTAAACTCCGGGGTCAAGTTCTGGGACGTGGTTCCCCTCTAAACCTTAGTTCGAGAACCTGAGTGTTGCATGTACGTCCGTTTTACAAATCTGACTTATTCGTATGCAGACTCTCGGTTGCTTCCCTCTCAGGCAGATGTACTCTTACTTCAAAGAATGCTCCCAGTTAGTCAACTTCTACGACATGCTTGTCGAGAAGGCAGTGGGTCTGTTCTTGATATCCTCACAATAGGTACCTACCACTCACACGCGAATGTGACAAAGATTTTTTTCTTTAATGATTGTTTACCTTTAACAACGTATTTTCCATGGATGTGACAAGATTTTAAATAATTTATTATTTTTAACAAGACATCTTTGTGTCTGCAACAGGATTTTCTCCGGAGAAAACAGAGAAATACAAGAACCTGGATTACACGGTGACCATTAGCCAAGACGGGGAGATCTATAAGATCGCCATCGACTTCAAAGGCGCAGTGCCCAGCGCTTCCTACAGCCTCAGGCTTGGGGAGGAGATCGACTACAACACTATTGATGGTCAGAAAGCTAAGGTAAACATAGGCATCGGGGCATAGGGCTCAGGCACCTTGAAGCCCCCACCCCTTCCTCCCCTTTTTTCATCCTACCAACCAGAATGTCCCCTTCTCTTCGTTGGCCTAGACAATTTGCATATTAGATTAATGTGATCAATTTCTCTTGTTCTTTATATGTTCCCAGACTAGACTAACGTGATTACTTTTTCTTGTTCTTTATACGTTACTAGCCTAACTAGCGTGATCACTTTTTCTTGTTCTATGTACGTTTTCAGACTAGATCTATGTAATCACTTTCTGTTGTTCTATATACGTTCCCAGCATTGACTAACGTGATCACTTTCTCTTTTTCTTTATACGTTTCCAGACTAGACTAACGTGATCCATTTCTGTTGTTCTATACACGTTCCCAGACTAGACTAACGAGATCCATTTCTTTTGTTCTATACACGTTCCCAGACTAGACTAAAGTTATCACTTTATCTTGTTCTATACACGTTCCCAGACTAAACTAAAGTTATCACTTTATCTTGTTCTATATACGTTCCCAGACTAGACTAAAGTTATCACTTTATCTTGTTCTATATACGTTCCCAGACTAGACTAAAGTTATCACTTTATCTTGTTCTATATACGTTCCCAGACTAGACTAAAGTTATCACTTTATCTTGTTCTATATACGTTCCCAGACTAGACTAACAGCGAGATATTTTCCGACGAGAAACAAGTAGCGTAAGTCTAAAAATAGTAATATTTCCGAAAATCTTTTAAGACATGCTGAAATGCTACGCTTCTTATGGGAGGTAAAGCCAACCACAATTAAAACCATACTGAAAGCAGCAGGATCTGACCTCATACATTCACTTTGTATGAGATATAGCTGTATACACAGATGGGTCTGTAGCGAGAAGTAAGAAGAGTGGGCGGAGCTTTATTGCAAAGGTCAATCGACAAAACAGAGCTCGCGTACAACGTCTTTATATCCAGTATGAGAATGGAGGTGGAGGCAGTAACAGCATCTTTTCGTTTGACAGCAGTTCAGCCCGATATGTTGTAAATGTAACTAGGTCTCACATAGCATGCTTTCAGAAATTTTAAACTGGCGTCCTGTGTGCAGAGAGACCAGCGTCAGTTGATAAGACTCAGATCAGGAGCAAAGCAGGAAGTTTCTGTCCATGCTATTCAGGTGTGCGAGGTAACGAGCATGCTGAAAGATTAGCTGCTGTCGCGTCTCTAGACCGTGAGCTACTTTATGATAAAGCGGACGTGGTGAAGCTTCTCTGGAATCAAATGGACAGTGCAAAAGAACAGATAGGGAATCCATACACTGAAAGGCTAATTCAAACGGTGGTGAGTAGCGAGAGATTCAGGAAGATATTCAACAATGAGGAGGAAACAATCGGACTTTTAGTCAGGGTACAGCTTGTACTGTCAGCGCGTCGACTCTTTATTGGCTACTGAAGAGGGTGACTGTGCATGTATGGGAATGTCCTGGGTTCAAGGGTGCCAGCTGTTGATTCATACATACACTCTGTGAATGTTGCTACGAACAGGTTAAAAGGAAATGTTTCCCCTAAGACGGGATCAGGAGAGACGTTTGTGTCATTACAAAAACAACACATCTTTTTCTTGTTGCCTCTAGTTCCCAACACATCATCAACATGGAACATAATCCCTTTCTCTTGTTGCCAACACAGTAGCAACATGATTTCTTTCTCTTGTTGCCAACACAGTAACAACATGACTAGATGAACATGATTCCTTTCTCTTGTTCCCAACACAGTAGCAACATGACTAGATGAACATGATTCCTTTCTCTTGTTCTTAACACAGTAGCAACATGACTAGATGAACATGATTCCTTTCTCTTGTTCCCAACACAGTAACAACATGACTAGACGAACATGATTCCTTTCTCTTGTTCCCAACACAGTAACAACATGACTAGACGAACATGATCCCTTTCGCTTGTTCCCAACATAGCAGCAACATGGCTAGATCGACACGATCCCTTTCTCTTGTTACTTACACAGTAACAACATAACTAGATGAACATGATCCCTTTCTCTTGTTCCCAGCACATCATCAACATGACTAGGCGAACATGATCCCTTTCTCTTGTTCCCAACACAGTAACAATATGACTAGATCAACATGATCCCTTTCTCTTGTTCCCAACACATCATCAACATGACTAGATGAACATGATCCCTTTCTCTTGTTCCCAACACATCATCAACATGACTAGATGAACATGAGATCCTTTTCTCTTGTTCCCAGCACAGCAACAACATGACCCCTTTCTCTTGTTCCCAACACTTCAGCAACATGACTAGATAAACATGATCCTTTTCTCTTGTTCCTTACACACCAGCACTAACCTAAACTAAACACTGCTGCTCCCTCTAGCTGACGCTGACCGTGGAGAATGGCAAAACCGTTGAGTCCTACTACTACGCAGAGAAGGACCTCAGATGGACAGTGACTAGAGCAGTTAAGGGCAGTGTTATGACCGCTGTAAGTCTGTTTTCTGTCTATTTTTCAGTCACACAGCTGTGTATATGTTTTCTATTTCTCAGTCACACCACAGTGTATATGTTTTCTGTCTATTTCTCGGTCACACCGCTGTAAATGTTTTCTGCTCTTTTCTCAGTCAGACCGCTTAAGTCTGTCTATTTCTCAGACAGCTGTAAGTCTGTTTATTTCTCAGTCAAGTATAAGTGTAACGCATTCCCCAGCACGCTTTCTGATCATCTAGTAGTCCTGTTTGATTCCCAGTCAATGCTGATTTTCTTGTATCCACTGACTCGACTTCCCATGCTGACTCCGCCTACACTGTAAGCCAAAAGAAGTAAATTTGGCAGAAACAATGATCAGCAAATCAGTAACCGTTAATTTGTGACATCCAGACATCTATCAATGAAAGCACATTAAAAAAAAAAAATTGATGTCAACATGGTTTGAACCCTGGCTCACGGTAACGCTAAAATATGTATCATAACTCCGTGCACGAAACAAATCCTTCAGGAAATGAAGTCTGAACAAGGCTCAACATCATGGCGCACGGGTAGTAACCCATAAGTGCTCTGTTCTTCTTCTAAATTAAGTCTGAGTCCGAAGAAGCTCAGCACAGCGAGCAAGCTCTATAGCGAGGATCCTGAAGTACTTTGGGTAGATTTTTAACTCCAAATTTTGTCCGGGCGCTGCCCCGTTAGGCTACTCTTTTCGATTTCCAGCTGCCAAGAGATTTTTTACGTGCTCAACAATACACACGGGCATCCGATCTCACTACCCAGAGACCAGGGGGAATCACTAGAAGTCCAAATCCACGTGAAAAAATCCCAGCCCTTACCGGGGTTGAACCCGGAACCTCTAGCACTCGAGGCACGCAGCCCCACCCTACCCCCCCCCCCCCCCTCACCTGATGTTCGGCAAGTTTTTGTTAAATGAGTCCAATTAGTTGTCGTATGAGTCCCTCATGACGACAACATTCGACCCCTCAATAGACACTCAGTTTGACATGCTTGATGTACATCATAGTTCTCACAAATGATAACCTTATTGTTCTGACTCTTCCACAGGTCACCAGACTAGGAGACGCGACCCTGACTCAAATCCTCAACAAGGTTTAATGTTGGTTGTTACATAACTCTTTGAGTCCCAGGAGTTTTAGCATCACAGGCCCAATGGGTAGTAAAAAGAGACTAACATCAACACATCATGCGTTCATTGGGCTTCTAGGTCAGAACCTATGAACATATGCTGCGTTCCCTGGGACTCAAAGAGTTAAGCTTGACGACTAAATAATATTTTTCAATACAACCCAACCCAACCATGAACTGAAAGCTAAACGATTAAACAGAAGACAACTAACAGTTCTGTAAACGTGCAATCTCACATAAACTGGACAGCTGTGTACATGTACTTTTCATCTCAAATGTGCTGTCACTAAACTGCCTCTCTTTTTTCTATTATCTATCCAATTGCAAAGTTCTGGTCTACAGTGGCTCTCAAAAGAGCGGTTAGAGCATTGTATCGTGGTTAATAGTCTACGATATCTGCGCCATTTCAGCACAACTTATCCTATTTCAGCACAACCCTTAATTAGTCACTTTTTCGACTGCCGAAGAGCGGTGGGTCTTTTCTTTTTATCTCAGAAATGGGGCACCAGAACCAGCCAGGAGACACAGCTCAAGATAAGTCAGGGAAAGAGCTGCAGAGCCAACCAGGTAATGGAACTCTCTAGAACCAACCAGGGGACACAGCTCTAGATTAAGTCAGGGAAAGAGCTGCAGAGCCAACCAGGTAATGGAACTCTCTAGAACCAACCAGGGGACACAGCTCTAGATTAAGTCAGGGAAAGAGCTGCAGAGCCAACCAGGTAATGGAGCTCTCTAGAACCAACCAGGTGATGCAGCTCCAGTTCCAGCCAGGGGACACAGCTCTAGATTAAGTCAGGGAAAGAGCTGCAGAGCCGACCAGGTAATGGAGCTCTCTAGAACCAAGAAGTTGATGCTGCTTCAGTTCCAACCAGGGGACACAGCTCTAGATTAAGTAAGGGAAAGAGCTGCAGAGCCGACCAGGTAATGGAGCTCTAGAACCAACCAGGTGATGCTGCTCCAGTCCCAACCAGGAGACACTGCTCAAGATTCAGACGGGGAAAGAGCTTCAGAGCCAACCAGGTGACGAAGCTCCACAACCAACCAGGTGATGGAGCTCCACAACCAACTAGGTGACGGAGCTCCACAACCAACCAGGTGACGGAGCTCCACAACCAACCAGGTGACGGAGCTCCACAACCAACCAGGTGACGGAGCTCCACAACCAACCAGGTGACGAAGCTCCACAACTAACCAGGTGATGCAGCTAAAGAACCAACCAGGTGACGGAGCTCCACAACCAACCAGGTGACGGAGCTCCACAACCAACCAGGTGACGGAGCTCCACAACCAACCAGGTGACGGAGCTCCACAACCAACCAGGTGATGCAGCTAAAGAACCAACCAGGTGACGGAGCTCCACAACCAACCAGGTGACGGAGCTCCACAACCAACCAGGTGACGGAGCTCCACAACCAACCAGGTGACGGAGCTCCACAACCAACCAGGTGACGGAGCTCCACAACCAACCAGGTGACGGAGCTCCACAACCAACCAGGTGACGGAGCTCCACAACCAACCAGGTGACGGAGCTCCACAACCAACCAGGTGACGGAGCTCCACAACCAACCAGGTGACGGAGCTCCACAACCAACCAGGTGACGGAGCTCCACAACCAACCAGGTGACGGAGCTCCACAACCAACCAGGTGACGGAGCTCCACAACCAACCAGGTGACGGAGCTCCACAACCAACCAGGTGACGGAGCTCCACAACCAACCAGGTGACGAAGCTCCACAACCAACCAGGTGACGAAGCTCCACAACTAACCAGGTGATGCAGCTAAAGAACCAACCAAATGACGGAGCTCCAGAACTAGATGACAGCTACAGAACTAACAAGGGGATGGAGCTCTAGTCCTCAATCAAATAAAATACACAGCAAAATGTCTCAGGTTTTCTCAATGCGTGTCCTAGCCAGTACAACCATCTTTTCATTACTTCTTGATCTAGTTTTATCATTCTTGATTCTGTCATATAACTTAGTTCTCTACTTTGTATAGCCACCAGTTAACAACTGTATGTTGAACATCATTCTTGATTCTGTCATATAACTTAGTTCTGTACTTTGTATAGCCACCAGTTAACAACTGTATGTTGAACATCATTTGTTTTTGGTGTTTACATTAGTTATAATAATGTCTTGATGCAATCTATTTATGAATAAAACATCTGCAATAGTTTAAAACAATGTATTCTCTAGTCAGTGAATTACAATGATTGTATGCATTCATGAAAGTACACCATTTTTTGCTGTTGTTACAGAGTTGTATTTGTAAAAGCTTCTTTTCGTGCCAGATGTGAATCACCTATATGATTCAACACTTGGTAGGTTATGTGCCAACTGTCCTTTTAAGTGCAACAAACAAGCAGACAATGTATCAATCGGCACTCACAGACAGAAGTAGAACTAAAGAAGAACACACGATCTTCAGAAAACAAAACCAGGATGCCGATATGATTACAGCTGGAGCTATGTAGTTTGTGAAACACACATAAAAACATGCGTACATTCAAGTGCAACACTGTGTCTAAATTTCAAAGCAATCAGTGAAGAACTTTTGACATACAGCTTCATGCAGATATCTAAGGTAAATAGTCAAAGTTCGCCTACCAGTGGAAAGAAGAAACCGCGCTGGCAACGGGAGAGAAAATTAGTATCGTTGGAAAACAACAACAAGATGATGATGTGATCGTCGCCAGAGTTATGCAGTTCGCGTGACACTCTTATTTAAAACAAAGCGTGTTTATCGATTGACCACAAAGGAACATTTACTTTTTTATATAGATTAGATGCTCTTAGAATTTACACTCACAATCAGACAATAAACTGCAAGTGATGGGGATAAATGTGGTAAACCCATTAAACTTAAACATTTACAAGCATATACTGCTTAGGCGCCCAAATATCTCCGTTCCAGCAAAACTGCAAATGATTAATGGCGTCTTTATCACCAATTTATGCTATTAGTGCCAAACATAGACAGTGAATAAAGCACTAGAACAGAAAATAGCTACATGCGGGGGAAATGCGCTGTCTCCACAAGGCCACCAACAACACAAGATCAGACATGGTTATGAATACCAGCATTAGAGAGAAAGTTGGAATAACACCATGTCTAGGTTATAATGACAGACAAAGAATGAGATGTTTTCGCCATCTATTAAGAATGCAGCTATGCCAAACTGCATTTGAGACTTTTTTACAGCAGACTATCTCAGAGGAAGGCAAAAGAAAGACCAAGAAAGAGATGGATAAACGGTGTAGTCAAAACTCCCCAATAAAAAATAAACAAACATATCCATCACCCAAGCCATGGAAGACTTGCAAGTCAAATACAGAAAGCCACAAGCTAGTATCAATGAGATGACAACAGAAGAAGAACCATAAACTGTTGGTCATTAATGAGTGTGAGTACTTAGGCTGTCTCAAATCATAATCATCTTTCCCTAAATGCCAAACTAAACAGATAAATAGGAAAGGCTTCAACAATGCCTTCCAAACTCACATTGAGAGTGTGGTCAAATAAAAGCAGAGAGGACCAAAATTGAAGTCTAGGAAGCCTGCACCCTGATCTCGCTCCTTTCCAAAAAAAAAAAAAAAAAGAATAAATACTTTCCACATGCGCTGTAAGAATCGCATTCTTGGTATATCATGGTGAGACATTGTACTCAGTGATGGGTATTGAAAAGATGGCAGCAATGCCAACAATGTACTTCCTACTGATGCCAAGACACCTGCACTGCTTTGGATGTCTTCTGCATGCAGTGTGGTGGCATTCCAAAGAATCTGCTGTATGGTGAATTGGTAACAGGGAGAGGTTTGCACGAAAGTTAATGCTGCGCTACAAGGACATGTGCAAATATGACCAGAAAGATACCAACATCGAGACTTGGGAGAGATCAGCTGCCGATCGACTTCTATGGAGGCAAATAGTAACTGATGGACTGTCGTCGTTTACAAGGGGCCAAATGTAGCTAGTTTTGGATGAGACATCTAAGAGAACACCAGCCTCAGCACAATAGAATATCCTTTTTATGTAGACGATGTAGCAGAGACTGCCACTCGCACATTGCCAAACTCAGTATTACAATTCCATGATCCATCAGGCCCGACGGTTGAATACTATATGCTCTGAATGGTACCTGATCAAATATTATTGTATATCCTTCTCCTCTTCTGCATTCAGCTTTGGTATGCTGTGTTGTGGTTTACTACAAGATCTTCACATCTGGACCCATTGCATCCAATTTCCCAAAATTCCCTACCTGGTAAACTTTTACAACTTGAGCAGCAAGTATACCCTTTCTTTCCTCCAAACCCAGGCATTAGAACCACACAGGCAATCAGATGTCCAACCAATGTCATTGATATTTGTAAAATAATGTGACACACATCACATCTATTTTGTTTCTAGTATCACATTTACTCTCTTAGACATGACAACATTGAAAAAACTACGGGAAGCATAAGTTTTATTCACAATTATCAGCATGCGCAACCATCTTACAATGAAACACAATGGGACTAAATCGCATATTAACTTTTTGAGTCCCAGAGGGTTTAGCATTAGAGTCTCAAGGGGTAGTCAAGAGAGACCTAAAATCGGCGCATCTTGTGTTTATTGGGCCTCTAGGTAGGAACCTATGAACGTATGGTGTGCTCCTCGAGACTCAAAGAGTTAAGTAATTAGTTTATTAAACTTGGGATTTTTCAAGTGAATACCCTTTTACCCTAGCACATCTGCAACACCATCTCACCCTAGCACATCTGCAACACCATCTCACCCTAGCACATCTGCAACACCATCTCACTCTAGCACATCTCCAACACCATCTCACCCTAGCATATCTCCAACACCATCTCACCCTAGCACATATCCAACAACATCTCACCCTAGCACATATCCAACAACATCTCACCCTAGCATATCTGCAAATTTAAGATTTACTAAAAGACATACAAGCTGCTGGTATCAGCAGAAGAGATTGAACTGCCACTGGCTTCCTCGCCACGATGCACATGTGAAATGGCGGACCAGACAACGGTGCACATGTGAAATGGCGGACCAGAACAAAACATTCACCCATAAAATCAAAATTCTAGATGTTTGTTTTAGAGTTTAACTTAACTTTCATTGAAAGCAACATACATAACAAGCTTGGGCTTCCTTGTGTAAAACATTGCTAGAATAACTGTGAGGATAATGGAAAGGAAAAAAAGAGGATTTAAAATTGGCAGAAATGATGTTGATAAATCTAGAATTTGGCAGAAAGCAAATCAAGGCATCCTGAGCCATCAGTTGACCTGAAATCATTCTAGAGGCAAACATCACTAAGCCACCACATCCTTGTGTAATGCAAGGCAACACACAAATATATACAAAAGTCACAAGCAAGCACACACACACACACACACACACACAAAGTGAGGACAGCAGAACTATGCCTTGGCTGCAGCCTTGACTTGAGCCTGTTGGAACTGATGCTGCAACTTGCCCAGGCTTTCACGATGGCTGTCTGCCTTTTTCTCCAGATCTTTTATGACGTTTTCATGCCGTTTTCTGAAAAAGTAGGAAACAAAAAATAATTGAGAAGACAGCTAGTAAGGACAAGAATATGTTAAACAATTATCAACTGTTCATAAAGTGGACAAACAGCCAGGTTTGTGTGTGTGTGTGTGTCTCTGGTTAATAAATGTACAAAGTTCAAATCACTGCTTAGGGCTGGAAACTTGTATGAAAACTATTGGTCTCTAAAATAAAACATTTCCCTTCGATTCTGGAAAACTTCTTCTTTGTGTTTACCAGCTGTATACTCTGGTTGCTTGTCAACTTCTGAGCTTTGGCCCTATTCCGGAATTAGCACTTCGATTTTGAAGGAAACCCCAATTAGTCACCCTAGAAGGCATTGATCTCCCCCCCCCCCCCCCTCCAACAAAATGGGGCCCTGGGACCCACATGGAGAGATCCTGAAAGCGAGGCGGTAAAAGCTGTACAGTCAAGTCGTCGCAACACTGTACAGGCTTATAAGGGTGTCTAGGACCTGCCTAAAGAAAGTCAGAAAAAGAGAGATGCATACAACAGTCATCCATTACAAATATGCATGACACAATTTCAACTTACAACTCTCCATTAATGTAGTCTATGCGTTTCTGCACGTTCTGCCTGGCCTCTACTAGATCTTGTTTGATCAAAGCTGGTCCCACCATTTTGTAAACAGTTGCCCCATCCTCTAGCCTGTCCAGTTCCTGCAAATGAGAGTAGAAATATTTCACAAACATGCCAACATCATTAGCCTTGTCTGTAAACAGATGAATCATTTTGTCTTCCTCTAAGTATTCATTTGCTGTAAACTCTTTCAGAAAGTTCTGCTTCTTCGCCCACTTCTGGACTTTGCTCTAGTTCCCGAATTTGAGTTTTGCTTGCGCATCTGTTTTACACACTGGCTTACTGTTATGCTTACTGTTGGTTCCAGATGTATTCTGATAGAAACACTCCTAATTAATCACACTTTACAATATATTTTCATGACTGACTGCTTGCATCAACAGAGATCTGCATTTACGGTGGAAGACTGTCAGTGTTGGCACATCTGATGGTTGCCTTATGCATTTACCTTGCATGTGCAAGTTTTTAGATTTTATATTACTTGTTTTCAAGTAGTTTATAGAATGACAACGTGTGTTACTTCCACTGGCTTGTACAGTTATGGCGGCGGGTCTTGTGCAATAAAGTTAAAACCGCGCTAACGACTTAGTCATGGCATAGTGAAAAGCGTGGTCAGCTCCATGTCTTGCCATTTTTCTTTCCCTGACCATTCTGAAAATGTGTATCCATTCTTTAAGGTTAACCCTGTAATCCCAGAAAAAAAACAATGCCAATAAAGGGTAATGAGGGAATTCCCTGAAAGAATATCCTAAAAAAAAAAGGGGCACCTAATACAGGTCACACAATTCCATTTATCAACCAAAATAATAATCTTCTTCTCCTACGCGTTCCCCAGCAGTAAACTCTGGTGAAAAATGTTCTGGTTGTTCATCCACTTTTGGACTGCAGTCCTGTTCCAGAACCTGAGTGTTGCGTGTGCACCCGTTTGACAGATCTGACTCATTTGTATGCAGACTGCTGGTTCCTTGCCTCTCCGGCAGGTGCACTCCGACTTCAAAGGAAGCTCCCAATAAGTCGACTCTTACGACATGCTTTGGGGCAGGCAGTGGGTCTATTCTTGTTTTCCCTATAACAGGGCCCCGGAACCCACACAGGAAAAAATAATATTATAGTGCATAGAATATGAGAAGTCATCAGTAAACATAAAAGCAGAAGAGAATTAACTGGGTCACATCTCTGTGACTGAGCTGCCGTGGAATAGTGGCTAGACACCCCACTGCAGATTTGAAGGTCGTGGGTTTCGGTCCGATGGAGCAAGACTTTGAAAAATACCCATGGCTCCCAGGTCAACCCAGCCTCAAATGGGTTCCAGGTAGTCCTGAAAAGTAAAGATTTTGACCATATCACCCATTGACTGCTGATTGGTTTATAAAATTAAGGTCTAGCCCAAAACACCTGAAGTGGAAAAGGGTCCTTCTACATCTCTGTGGGTCTAAAAACAAATGTTTAAGGTGACTTTTTTTATACAAACCTCTTTGACAAGAGTGTTCTCACTCAACTGACTGTCCAACTGCTGTCGCAATCCTACATGTTTGGCAATATCTGGAGTGGGTGCAAACAAAGGTAACAATTAAACTCCCATGCTACAGGAAACTCACATTTAAGAAAACAAAGAGAAAGATATCTTTGAAAACTAACCAATGTCATTATTGGAGTCAATTACATTGATGAAACGATGCACACAAAGATAGAGCAGGAGGAGAAAGATGATAGCCTTTTATTTATATCTTTTTCTTAACGTTCAATGACTATAAACTCTGGTATAAAGTTCTAGTTTTTAGCCCACTTCTGGTTTTGCATGCACATCTGTTTTACAGATCTGGCTTATTTGTATGCAGATTGTTGGTTTCTTCCCTCTCAGGTGGATATGCTTTGACTTTGAAGGAAATGTAACAGAGTGAGCTCATAGCTTGTTTGTTAGGAGGCACAAAGCTAGAATATTAGGAGATCAACAACCTTTGGTAACCTTGACATTCCCTTTTCCAGAATCTTCTTTTCCCGCCAAAACAAGCTATTGACATCAAACTGATGTTGTCTGGCCTTGGCCTTCTTTCTAGAAGTTTTGAAATGCGTTTTTCATCATGTGACCCAACCTTGTCTCACTAGTAAATATCTTGTTGTCGTGCCCTATCAAAGCAAACACTTTTGTCCTTGTTTTTTTTTAGAAGCTTCTATGACCTCAATTGTCAGTTTAACTACTATATCTGCGTAGAATAGAATGATGAAATCTGATGCAATCGAGATATAATTAGCAAATCCCACGCGAGAACCTACCTAGTAAACAAGTTGAGGCGTACTGGAATATTCTAGGAGCAGACAAAGCGAGAAGAAAACAAATACCTAGCATTCCAGCATCCAAGTATAAATAGCGAGTAACAAAGCACTTTAGCAATTCTTCAGTCCACAAGACTCAAGAGAGGAGAGACAAGTCACATGGGCTCCCAAGACAGCCTTCAGTGGTAGAGATGTAAGCCCAACACTAGAAGCCTTCAGTCGTTGAGACTCAGAGGAAGATCGACTAGTCTCAATGATCCTCGATGCCAGCTCAACACTGAAAGGAGAGCAGCCGTTCATATGGAACCTCGAAGACAGTCACTGGAGAGCAGACATGTAACGAGACATCGAGCTACAGAGACGACACACAAGATACATGGATCCATGGAGAACAGAGACATACTAGGAACACTATAGGTTAGAGTCAACGATCAAGAGGTTAGTACCAAACAGCACTAGAAGCCAGGTGGCAGTTAGAGACACTAGAACCAGTTAACAAAGTAACTAGAGATGAAGATCACAACGCGAACCTACGAATATTTAGCCATAGAGAGAACACAGCGCTATTCAGAATATCACTGATGTTATTTTGTGACATTGTTGAAGTATCACAATAAAGACAGTATAGACGAGAACTGTTGTTTCCAGCCATTTTGTATACAAGCATCAGAGACACGTGAGAAGCATGCAGATAGCAAGACATAATCATCATCATTGTCACTATCGACATGACCGTCTTTCTCCTCGTCTATAACCTTCCAATCGACTCCTCCTGTAGCAAACCCAAAGACGAACCTGGGTGTGACATCAACATACGCAACAAAGTAGAGAACTGTGCTACAGAAACATCCCTAATTAGTCCCATGCCTGTTAGAGGGACAGCGGAACTATCCATCCATCCATTCATACCCTCAGCCTTGAGAATGATTTCTTACATTAACTCTAGCCCTTGAATCCCAACCCTCAAGTAATGTTTTCTCTAGCTTTGCACATTTTGCCACAGAAAACTGATGAAAGAGAAATGCCTGCATAACCATAAGATATATTAAAACATTATGGTGAGAAGCCCAGACAATTCTAAGACACCTAATCACACAGAAGTTTACCTTGAAAATACAGGAAATGAACAGCAAGCTGCATGACAGAAGAGAAGATAGTTTATATTGGGAAAATCAAGTAGCCATGCTCGAAGAATCTTTAGTTGATGATCCCTGCATTGTAACAAAAGAGGCAGGAAAATATTTCCACAGATTTCGCCAGTCTGTCTATGAGTGCTTAATGCATAATATCAGTGCTGCTTAAGTTTTTCCTGTGTTATCTTTTATTTCAGGAATTGTTTTCCAACAAACAAAACTTTTCCATGGCTACCGTAGCACAGATGGCCTATGAAATTGGGGTGCTTGCCAACATTCAAGTTGGCCAGATGTTGCAAGGGTGAGATGTTGCTACACTGGGGTGGGATTCAATGACCAAGCAAGAATTCCATATTAATGAAGTTCCTGTGTCTCTTCTAACATCGCTTCATGGGCAGTCTTTAACTTTAAATATTAGGGTTATTTCAGGGTCTACAACAGAACAGCTGTACTGGCACGGTTTCAAAGATGCACTATGATGCTTTCAAGATTCCAGTAGCTGCTTTGAGGAAGCAGTAAAAATTAACTGAATTGCACCATGATGGACAGAGCTGCTGTCAATCACTGTGTTAACCAAAAAACTTTAATAGGACATAGGAGATTTCGCAGGCCTGGAGTGTATGGTACACCCATTGGATGGCCTCGCCAGATCTGTCCGTGATGTATTGCACAAGCTTGAAAGGGATCACATTACAAGCCAAGATGACGCGTGATGTATTGCACAAGCTTGAAAGGGATCACATTACAAGGCAAGATGACGCGTGATGTATTGCACAAGCTTGAAAGGGATCACATTACAAGCCAAGATGACGCGTGATGTATTGCACAAGCTTGAAAGGGATCACATTACAAGCCAAGATGACGCGTGATGTATTGCACAAGCTTGAAAGGGATCACATTACAAGCCAAGATGACGAGAAAACAGATTTGGGATGTCGTGCTGCGGTGCTAGTTCATCAGATATCCACATTGCATCGCAAAGATGGGTCTGGTATTCCAAGTGCTTTCGTTGCCTTTTTTCAGAACAAGAATATCAATCCCCGCATCTTCAAGTGCTATGTCGGGAATCGTCTGAATATAATGTTCAATATGGCAGCTGTAGTTTATTTGCGTAGGGACAGACTGACAGTTTGTTGTATTCACGGTTAGTAACAGGGCCATGGATGCAGCTGTTCTATACAGACAACAGTGGAATGGGACATTTAGATGCAGTGTCTGGTGAAGGCTTGTCTGAAAAGCCTTGAGATAGTGGAAGCTAAACGGGGATACCTCATACACACTGAACATGATGCTTTTGGTAGAGATATGAGTAAGCCAGAACTGAATCAACCTAGGCTCCTGTGTGAAAACTTTTAACATGGTATCCACAAATTTTGCGGAGCTTTCATTAAAACCATTAACCTGCAGTTTAAGCCCTATTTAAATGGGCCCTATGAATCATCTGGTGAATTAATTGCAAAGACATCTGCCGAATTACATAATATGCAGGCTAAAAGAAATCTTGCAATGGTGGATTATGTATTCAGTATCATCATTCAGTGATGCAAACAGCTCCCACCAATGCCACCATTTGGTTCACTGATGCAAAGGTGAAGGCTGTGCAAAACAAAAACTGCAATTGCTCGTCTAGAATTGACATACAGGCATGATAGAGCTACCGTTGGAACAAGCTTTTCAATATGTTTCCAGTTGTACTGGTTTTAAAAATGAAAATTAGTAAAATACGATCCGATTACAAAACTTTATGTTGCCAGTAATTTTTTGTAACGTTTAAAGGATATAACAGTGTTTAAAAAATATGCGTGAATAAATATTGAATTTTATTTTTAACAGAAAATAGGGCTAATTTATAATTAGTATAAATTATACTATAAAAATAAATTCAACAAAAGTATATAATTACTTGGTTACTTGGTTGACTTGACAACACTAAACAGCACATGAGGCGACCAAATTAATTATTTGTTTGTGAAATGACTCTGACACACCAAGTATGTAATCTAGCATTAATGTGTAATTTATACACTAAATAGATACCTCTCAATATTTATTATGTACACATAAACGTATTATATTTTACTTACCTTTTTGAACAGTCTGGAACTTCTCCAGTTCAGTCTGCAACCGCTTCTGTACACCTTCGGCCATGTTGAAAATTACTGCAAGAAGACACAGCAGAAAGTAGCAGTATTTTCATTGGCTAGAACTACATATATTGACGAATGAAACTGCATCTTTCAATGTTTACGGCAAGGGAAAGATACTAGGAAACCTACAATTTATAATAATGAATTAGTTATTTCCCTTAGCAAACACACAACACTCAAGATCTTCAATTCTTGTGTGATTCCAGTACTAACCTATGGATGCGAGAGCTGGAAATCAACGAAAACGCTAGACACAAAATTAGACAGTTTTGAAAAAAAATGCCTTAGAAGAATACTAAATTTCAAATGGTCAGATTTCCGAACCAATGCACAAATAAGGCAAGAATCCAGGCAAGAGTATGTGTCTAATTTTATACGAAAACGCCGCTGGAACTATGTCGGCCACGCCCTTAGAATGGATAAATCAAGACTTCCTTACCAAGCCCTCATTTGGACACCACAGGGGAAAAGATCTCGTGGAAGACCAAGGGAAAACCTACGTAGAACTATCATCAGGGAAGGCTCACTCATGGGCCACTCAAACATCCAAGACCTACAACAGATTGCAACGAACCGCCATGCATGGAGAGTCATGACCTCTGCCCTATGTGCCGCACTCGACACAAGAGGAAAGACTAACTAACTAACTATTTCCCTTACAATGATATAAAACAAAAGCAATGTTTTCCCGTTGTCATTTTTTTATTTTTTATTTTTATTTTTTCCTTTACGTCCTTTTTAGGACGTTTTTGTTTTTTGTTATTTGAAGTCCCACTCTGGCTTTTGCCAGGGGCCGCAATATAGGCAGGCCATAAATATGGCCAATTGTCTGAACGCGGTTTCTGGGACCTCTCCACGGTGATCCTCATCCACATGGTGGCACTTAGTGTCATCGGGTGTTTATCACTTGTGTGATGTCCTGGTGGGGTAGAAAGTCAGTCAGTCAGTCCCGTTGTAAATTTGAACAAAGAAGACGCAAACAATAGATTGCACAATTTATGTAAAGGATTCACTTATTTGCTTCCTTTATTTAATTGTTACTGTAGTATGCACCTGACGAGAAACAGCGAAAAATGCCAGGCAATAAATTGTGCAATCTATTGTTGTGGCTTCTTTGTTTAAATAAATAAAACATTGTTTGCGGCAGAGATGTGGTTTCTGAAAAAAAAAATGCAAATAAATATCTTGGAGGGACAGAAACACAAACGAAGTAGTCCTCATCGAGACAGATGAAAGTCGTAAGCTTATTAAAACAATTAGACGTTTAACGGTCAGCGACTGATAAGAGGGAGGTCATTGATGGCTCAGACAGAAGACACAATCAGACAGGTTTGCATCCTTGAGAACATTAGGAGAGCAGTGGGTCAAAGTGCCATCTGAAAAGTCAGACTTGTGTAGGGCCATAATCACGCTGAGTCGGGAATGCAGAGACTGGCCAGCAGATGCCACGGAGGTGGAAATTCAGCAATTAATTCAAGAAAATTCTTGCTCAGAAGATTTGATCATTTACACAGACGGTTCAATGTCAAGAGGCAAAAGAAGTGCTTGGTGTTTCTTAACAAAAGTTTATGGTCAACGTCTGGTGCAGGAGAGCCTAGCATATGATACCACAACACCCAGCTTCAGAATAGAGGTGGGGGCAGTCACTGCAGCTTTTTGCTGGTTAGATAACACGACACACACACACACACACACACACACACACACACACATCGTGATTGAAACTGACTCAGAAAGCATGCTGAGGAAGATCAGGACAGGCATGCTTCATGCAGTGTGGCATGCCTCGCTGTGGAGGGCACGGGTGAGGAGTATTGTCTGGATTTTTTTCACCAGGGCAGGCCGATGTGTTGGGAAATGAGCAGTCGGACAGACTGGCTGGCTCTGCACAACTTGGTGGAATACTGATGCATAAGGCAGATGTGGTTAGTGCCTTGTGGGAGAGCGTGTACAGTTCGGAGGAGCAGATGGCTGACTAGTCTCGTGAGATTGATGCAAAGAGGGGAAGGGAGGGGGAGGTGTGGGGTGACGGGAGGTTCTGGCAGATGCTCGTGGGCCTGGAGGAAAGGCAAAACGGACGTTTAATCAGAATGCTACTGGCACCATTAGTATCGGAAGTAAATATCCTGACAAAATTTAATCTGTGGCCATTCACTGTGATATTGGACTCGATGAATCTTTGCCCTGGAACTGGCTGGTGCATGGCTACAGTTTTATCTTTGTTGATGGTGAGCCCAAATTTTGTACAGGCATCACTGAATTTGTTGATGTTGTGCTGCATATCCGCTTCTGTATTGGCATAAAGGGCACAATCGTCGGCAAACAGGAGCTCCCTGATGGTGACTGGTTTAGTTTTCCTTTTTTGCTTTCAGCAGGTTGAACAGCTTTCCACCCATGCCGTAATTTATGTCGATTCCAGTGTTGTTATTTACAAAGGCATCAGTCGTCATGGCTGAAAGCAACAGACTGAACAGGAAAGGTGCAAGCACTCAGCCCGGTTTGACTCCGTTTGTGACAGGAAAGGACTCTGACAGTTCCCCGTTATCCTGCACTCTTGCTTGCATGCCATCATGAAACTGACGCACTATCTGGACGAACTTGTGTGGGCAACCAAATTTCTCCATAATCCTCCACAGTCCATCTCGATTTACTAAGGTGAAAAACATGTTCGAATTCTGTTCTTGACATTTCTCTTGCAGCTGTCTAGCAGCGAAAATGTTTTAGGATAGTGGGTCTGTCCCGGGGCCGTATAACGAGCCATAGTTCAGTATCCAACAAGCCAACAATGTCGCATACCAGCTTGCCCCAATTTTAAAACACCCTGCTGTCCCAGCTGAGATAAAAAGACAAATTATAAATACAATCTTTATACCGACATTAGGTTATCAATGTCAGACTTGGACATTAACAAAAGAACATGAGAGAAGACTAACCACCTGTGAAATGAGATGTTTGAGAATGGCTGCGAATAAAACCAGAAGAGATCGAGTGAGAAACGATGTGATTACAAGAACTATTGGAACCATACCCATCGTTAAATTTATTGAGAAGCAAAGAATGAAATGGTTTGGTCACCTAATGAGAATGGAACCAACGATGCCAGCATCAAGAGCATACAACATGAAAATCGAAACAACAAGAGGCAGGGGAAGACCAAGAAGAAGATGGATTGAAGGAGTCACGGACAACTTGAGACTTCATAACATCACGGCATATGAAGCGACTGAGCGCGCCCTGGCTCGGTTGCCGATCATCTGATAGACTGCGACGCCTAGCGGCACAAGCAGATTTTGACAAAAGAATAAGAAGTTCAGTAGGATCGATACAGGGTCCTTGACAAACAGTCTACATACAAATAAGCTAGATCCGTAAAACACATGTAAATGCAAAAGTCAAGTTCTGGAACAAGACCAAAGTTCAAAAGTGGACGAACAACCAGCAGTTTATGCCAAAGTTTAAAGTCACTGAAGGCTAGAAAAAAGATGTAAAATATCATTCTCGTCGTCATCGTCCTTCTCCTATCAGGCAGGTGGTAAGAGTCTACTAATTAGCGATGTTTCGTCAGCCAGCTAAACAGACTCGCAGAAAACAATCAGTTCGTTCTCCAGTGGATCCCGGCTCACTGCGGCATACCAGGAAACGAGTTAGCAGACAGAATTGCTAAAAATGGAACACAGGAGAAACAACACACCCATTCATTGTCATAACCAGAAATCAGAACCCTTATCAAGAAAAAATACAAGGACTAGTGTAGAGAACACACTAACAGTAAACATCCACAAGACCCCATCAGCATACTCAACCGAAAGGAACATACAACCATTGTCCGACTACGAACAGGACGCTGCATGCTCAACTACCACATGCATAAAATAAAGATTGTACAGTTCCCACAGTGTGCCTGTCAAACAGGACAACATACACCTGAGCACATTCTGCAGACCTGCCCATTCTAATACAACTTCGAAAAGACACCTGGCCTCAAGAGCAAAGTGTGCAGAGCAAGCTATGGGGGTCCATAAAGGACTGACATGCGAGTTCATAGAGGCAACCCACCCCATGGTCTGATCTGAGCATACGAAGCCGAACGCAAAGAAGAAGAAGAAGAAGAAAATCAGAGGTCTCTAGTCGAAACTAGTACTATGCAATTTTCTGGGAAGTCAACACGCATAAAACTATCTTGAGCCTAACAATGCCCGAATGCATATTGATCTATACCAGTGGTTCTCAACTTTCCGAATACGGCGACCCTTTAATACAGTTCCCCATGCTGTGGTGACCCCCAACCATAAAATTATGTTTGTTGCTACTTCACAACTTTAGTGAATATGTGTTTTCCGATGGTTTTAGGCGGCCCCTGTGAAAGAGACTCTCAAAGTTGGATCAGCAGCATACAAACAAAGTCGTCTCTAGGTGCAGTTAGGTCTTTTATTTATTAATTTTATTACTTATTTGGAAATTATTCCTTAAAGAGCGGTTGGTCAAATGACAAGGGGCGCTGAGCTTTAATAGAGAAAGCTGGGTTCGAATCATAGCCTGCACAGTTCGTGGCGACTGCACTAGCCATGCGGACTTACAAACACTCTGGCTCAGGAGCCTCTATGTGCTACGCAGCCCTAAACAGTGGTAAATACAATTGTAGTCTGTTCCAGATGTTGTGCTCAAAGTTTAAAAATCTGCAACTCAGTAACAGTTCGATGTCAGTTGTTGAAATCTGGCATGCAACCCATTAATAATCATGTGCTTGAAATAATTTTTTTTAAAGGTAAACAAACATCTAGTTTTAATTTTGTCTAATTTGCGCTATATTCAAAGAACAGTCACCGACTAAAAGCAGACAGCATACGTACAGTTAAGCAAGCAATGGGAACTTTTCATGAATCCAGATTACACGTGATTTATAGGCGTTTCACTCTCACGTGATCATCTCCAGCATTAATCTCCCCTGAATTGTGGGTTTATTATTTAAGCGGGATATGCTATCAAAATAATCACTACTCA